CTAATCATGGGATATCATTCTAGATATTCTTAAAGTAGGTATTCCAACATCTTTTACCTCTTTCCTTATGTGGATTCTTGTTTTCACACTTTTGGAAATAGGTTGTCCCTTGCAGTTTTTTGGTTGGTCCATTTAAGATCTTTTACATTCTTGATCATGAAATTCTACTCACAGTAACTATGAAACATTTTGCAGGCCTCTTATTTGGACCATATCTAATATAGTTCGACAAAAGCCAGATGCTATTGTTTCTGGATTACCTCAATGTATCCTACTTCCTGCTTTTCAAAATTCTCAACAGCAAAATGAGTGGGGACTGTTTTTGGGTTTTCTCCAGAAGTATAAAAGGGTAAAGTTCTGTACATGTTACCCGATATTCATTTTGTTTATGTTTAGATGTATACTAAGGCCCTTCCAAATAGCCTAAGTTGACATTTCCAGTGCTTGCTGCTAATTTGAATTGAACTGCCTTAAAGAAATTTTTGTTGCTCACCTGACCACCGTGACATGCACTGAAAAAAACATGTGAATGTTGGAAATTTTTATAAATTTCATTATTTGGCAAGGACAATTGGTTATTGACACTGTATGTAGCTAGCTTCTTGGATTATGTAATTTTACAAGGAATTGCAGCTTGAATAGCATTTTTTAAAGCCTAAAATTAAAGATGCTTTTACCAAATTTGTCTCAAATAATTGGTTTGGTGCTATTATTTTCAGTAGGGTCTTGTTTGGTGTCATAACTTATTTCCATTGCTTAATTTTCTCAGAAATGCATTTGTTCTCATTGTTGATTGAGATGTTTAATTATCCATATGGGATTTGATGTCTAACAAAAAAAATGTTGTATTTGATGTTGTTGGGAGTTAGAGCCAGATTTCAGATATAATTTTTGTGTTTTTTGTATTTGATGCTGTAGTAGTTAAATTTTTATTTTTGTATTTGATTGAGATGTTTAATTATCCATGTGGGATTTGATGACTAACACAATTCTTATAATTCTTTACCATTTAATCCAATTTAATCATACCAAATCACATTTTAGATAAATACGCCGTAAAATCATATAAATTCTAAGGATCACAAATCATCAATCAATTTCAGATTCGGCCGCCGATAAGGCCTTCAATTCGCAATTTAAACACAAAGGCATGAACAGATAATCAAACAGTCAACAGATAGACGTACAATTAAGCAGATATACTTAATCAATTCAGTTCCAGATTTCAGTCAGTCAGTCAGTTCAGTACTTCAATCAATTCAGTTACCAATCATAATCAGTCTCAGTTTAGTAGTAATTAGTGGTTAATCTGTAAACAGTGACGAGAGTTGTTACAATTATGTAGTGGGATAATTTTGTTGATGTGTAATTATGAATGGAAGAATATTTTATTATGGAGAAATTATTATTTTTATACAGGAATTTTTATATTATTATGCAATTATTATAGAGAAATTTTAACATTTTTAATGATTTTATCGCAGGATTTTTTTTCTTTTGTGACGGTACTACACCGTCGCAAAAAACAAAAAATTTTAATATTTTTATTGATTTTGTTACAGGTTTGACTTTTTGCGATGGCACTAAACTGTCACAAAAAATAGAAATTTTATTCTTTAAAATAGAAATTTTATTATTTTTTAATACTTTTTGCGACGGCAGTACACTGTCGCAAAAATCGAATTTTTCATATTTTTAATACTTTATGCGACGGCAACACACCGTCGCAAAAACAGTGTCCTTGCCGTTGCAAAAAAGAAGACTTTTAGTGACGGCTTTTTTATGCCGTCTCAAATAACATTTTTAGCGACGGTAAAGTAGCGCCGCCGCAAAAAAGTCAAGAAATTTCAAACATTATTAGCGACTATAAAGTGCCGTCGCAAAAGGCAAAAATGCTGTCGCAAAAACTCTTTTGCAACGCCCCCAGTTGCGACCCCCCTCTTGCCGTCGCAAAAAGTTTTTTGTGACAGCATTAGAAGTATTAGCGACGGCATTTTACCGTCGCAAAAAGCTGAAATTTTAGTAGTGAGTACATAGACCCGAATTAATATAAAAGTATATGTATAAAAATAATTATTTTTATTGACATAATTTATGTAAAAGTAAATTATTTAGTAGCAAAATAAAAATAAAAATTTAACTTTTAACGACCAAAATAATTTTGGTCGCCGAAGAGACTTTCGCACTAAAAAAGACCACTTTTCGCTACTAAACATATTTTTAGTCGCCAATTGTAGACTTTTTGGCTACTAAATTTTTTTTAGTCGCCAAAAAACTTGCTTTTGGCTACTAAAAAATGTTTTAGTCGGTAAAACCCACACAATTGGCGACTAAACTTATAATTAGTCGCCAATTGTAGACTTTTTGGCTACTAATTTTTTTTTAGTTGGCAAAAATTGTACTTTTGGCTACTAAAAATGTTTTAGTCGGTAAAACCCACATAATTGGCGACCAAAATTATAATTAGTCGCCAATTGTTGACTTTTTGGTTACTAAATTTTTTTTAGTCGGCAAAAACTATACTTTTGTCTACTAAAAATGTTTTAGTCGGTAAAACCCATATAATTGGCGACCAAACTTATTTTTAGTCGCCAATTGTAGACTTTTGGCTACTAAATTTTTTTAGTCGCCAAAAGGCTTCACAATTGGCTATTAATGCTTTTTTAGTCGCTGAAAGCTATACTTTCAGCAACCAAATTCTTTTTAGTTGGAAAATTTGGTCGCTGAATGTGTTTTTTCTTGCAGTGATAAGAAATCAAACCAAATTCCGTATGATACCACAGTGTCCTTAAAATAGATTAGCCGGCTCACCGTGGGTGCTGGAGGAACGTTGACTTCTATCTCCCAGGATAAGATGGTTTAAACCGGCTAACTCAGAAGCACCTTCTGTTAGCTTTGGCAAACTGGCAATGGCAACATTCTCTCACAGTAAGAAATTTCTAGCAAACTGACTAAAGAATGAAAGAAACAATTTTTGTGTTTGAGACTTAACAGGAGGGTCTCAATTCATACATGTATAGGGAAGAGAGGAGAAGCCTCTAGCCATTATGGCTGGTCACTAATGCACCATTAACCTCTGCAATAAAGGCAGGAGTTACAAACCTCATTAATGCACTATTAAACTCTGCAATAAAGGTAGAAGCTACAAACCCCATTAATTCTTTCATGAAGCTAACTTTATGGGACAATTTTTCATTCAATTCTCAATGGTTTTTGGCCATTTTATTTGTGGTGCAAAGATCTCATTGCAAAGTATCTAGACCCACTTAGACCGAACACAATAGATGGTTGGGACCTACTTTAATATTTAGTTAAAGTCATCAAAAATTCATTTTTTCCAACAGCTATCTCTATATTTTCTTCATCACCAAACAAAAAAACAAAAAACAAAAGAGTCTATTTTCTATCTATAAAAGCCTAACCCACTCCACCATTTCCCCCAACAACATTCTCTCTCTCTCCCCCCCCCTAAAAAAAAAGAAAAATTACAAGAGTTTTTTAGGTGTCATTTGAGATGGCTTCAAAGGCTCTCCTCCTCCTTTCCCTCAACCTCCTCTTCTTCACTCTGGTGAGTTCTAATTATGTCCCATGCCCACCACCACCACCAAAAACTCCCAAGCACCACCACAAGCCTCAATCTCCGCCCGCTAAGGCCACTTGTCCTAGAGACACCCTAAAGTTGGGTGTTTGTGGTAACTTGCTTGATGATTTGGTGCACCTTGTCATCGGAACCCCATCCAAGACTCCATGCTGCACCCTCATTCAGGATCTTGCTGATCTTGAGGCTGCTGTTTGCCTTTGCACCGCCATTAAAGGTAATGTGTTGGGAATTAACCTCAATGTTCCTACTTTATTGAGCGAGCTGCTGAATTGCTGTGGAAAGAATGTCCCAAGTGACTTCCAATGTGCTTAATTAAAGTTTTTGTATTGATCTCATAATTATATCTCTTCATCGTAAACTCTTCCAGTGTGCTGTTGTATGAGGAACGATCATATGGGTAATCATTTGAGATGTTACAACTTGATTTATATATCCACCGTATTGTTATCCTTGTTCATGAAGGAGAAAATAATTAAGGATTGCAGGCTTTCAACATCAATAAAATGCGATTATTGATTCTTGTTATTTTGAAAGTTGTTTTGCTTTCTATGATTCCTACTCCATGATTACTTTGGTGTTTCTTTGCAAGTTATGGAGAATATGAGTAAAATTTTTTCTTCTTTAATTCTCTTTTAAAATTACGTGAGTGATTGTTGTTTTTCAATTTTAATTTTCGACACCCTTCGCCCTCCCCTTTAGATTAGGACATTTCTATGATGTTGTTTGATGTTCTGAAAAACTAAAAAGAAAAAAAAAGATTGCTATATATAATGAAGAGTACTATTAAAATGATTAAATTTTGGCCCAGCTTCCCGCTCCGTTTAGTAATTGAATTGAAGGGTCTTGTTAAGGTAGTGTGGGTTTATTTTGGAATCATTTTGATAATCTAAATTGTTTATTTTCTTTGTAAAAAAATTAAGTTAATTTGAGTCTATAATAATTCATATACTCCATTGGGATCTCTGAGTCTTTTGAAATATTGATAATTTGAATAAATGAAAATATAGACAGGAAAAAGAAAAAAAAATGGGAGAAGTAACCAGCACAAAGTAACCATTTGGTTCACTAGCTTTGTTCTAATCATACTCTGTATGATAATTTTTCTATTCCTTCAAGCAGGCATTTGCTTCTCTAAACATAGGGTTAAAAAAAAAACCCTAATTATAGCATAAACTACAAAGGAAAAAAAATGTAGTCATCAATGAAAAATCTCATCTACCAATGTGAAAGGCTCCATCAGAATTTTAAATATCAGCTAATACTTATTGAGATTTTAACTTTCGATATTGATATTTGTTGATATATTTACTTATACTATTTATGTATGACTGCATTGTTAATATTAACACGTATTTTGATATTGCTATTTAAAATCATGAGCTCCAAACGCACATTCTGCTTATTCATAGAATAAGGCCTGCGCCCTAGGTCGATGGCTGCTGAAGTTGCTGTACTGCTCATGATGTTGGATTGGGCTATTCGGCATTTCAAGTCCGTCCCCATGCCCATTTCCAAGATACTGCTGCACCACTAACACTGACATGGTGGCCGCAAAATCCAATGATGCCAACAAAACACCAATTGCACCAAGTTCCAGGCACTCGCTCCAATCTGTCAACCCTGCCGTGAGCGGCAACACCATGCCTTGTCCTCTGCCAACTATGAAAAGGTCATATAATGTAACGCCCTCAAAATAATAGCATTAAACCCATCAGATAAGACAAGCATTTACATATAAACTAACCACATTCCTTTATTTCATTGAGTTTCATTACATAAGTATTACATGTTAACATCAAAACAAAATGCCCTACGGGCTTACAGCTTTCCAAGTTCCGTTATTTACCACCTTTTCTTTGTAAATTATTGAATCGTTCACAGTTCTTGCCCTAAACTCTTTTATATAGTCCTCGTCTAGTTGTATATCTCTATCACTGTCTATCACCACTGTCAGTGTGGTAGGGCTGTTAGGTTCAGCGCTAGTCTCCACCCTCGTTGGATCAATTGCATTGTCACCGGCGATGAATCGCATGACGGTCAGACTGATTCCGGGATGCTCAGACATCCTCCAAGCATATGATAGCGCCTCTCTATCATCTGCTCCACCGAAGAACATGACAGCAACTTGGTGTGAAACCTGTTAGGATGTTTTAAAAAAATCAAAATTATTATTTAATTTTTTTTTATTTTGTCTAAAGATCAGTACTGTTGAAATTAAGTTCAAAATAGATGTACAAAATCCAATACAGAATTTATGTTAAATCATTACAGATTTAAACCCATCGATTTTTCAGTTTTGTTACAAAATAATACTCATTTATTGTGTTAGATTTATAGGGATCATGAAAGAAATGCCATGAAGATGATCATAAAAGATTCTCCACCTTTGGATTACACATACAATAAAACATCACACACTAATCAAAGGATGAAAAACCTTCATGATACATTTCATGATATTTTTTTCATGATACCTAACATTACTCTTTTTTTATTTTTAAGGTTGTGTTTAGATTATAAATATAAGAAATGATTTAAAAAGGAAAAGGAAAAACTGAGTTATAGGGATCATGAAAAAAATGCCATGAAGATGATCATAAAAGATTCTCCACCTTTGGATTACACATACTATAAAACATCACACACTAATCAAAGGATGAAAAACCTTCATGATACATTTCATGATATTTTTTTCATGATACCTAACATTACTCTTTTTTTATTTTTAAGGTTGTGTTTAGATTATAAATATAAGAAATGATTTAAAAAGGAAAAGGAAAAATTGAGGAAAATGAAGAAAAAATTAACTTATATTTCAGTCATTACTACTGTCATTTAATTTAAATTCTAATTATTTCGTATTTTCAGTCATTTTTATTTATAATATTTGCACTTACTATTGTGATTGTTATTTTTCTAGGCTAAGAATAACAATCTCAAACTACTTTTATTTCTAAATTATAGTAGATCTAGCAAAGAGAAGTTAGTGTTACTTGGTTTTGTCAAACAAATTGTTAATATGTTGTTCTCAACTTTTATTTTCCCTCAGTTTATATTATATTTTCTTGTCATTGTTATTATAAGATTTTATATAAATATTATTTTGATAGATTAACAAAAACCTGGTTAGAAGCACCTAAACAGACCGATCCAGTTAGCCCTCGGTCGACAAGAATCCCCACTGAGCATGGTGCATTAGCCAACACGTTCTGGTTGATGAATCGGAATGCAGCATTGGCAACCTGCATTCCTCCATCCACCGTTTGCTGTTTGTGAAAAGGAATTATGATGAAGGCAACATGCTTGTCCTCTGCCAAGTTGCAAATGTCCTCGTGCATCGTGGTGTAGGGAGAGATGGCGGTGAGAGGGTTGACGGAGACACAAGTGACGCGTTGTTTGAAGTTTTCAAAGGCATTGATAATTTGGTTGGATTGGGCTTGGGTCCGGTTGAGGGCGGGGCTACCAGAGCCTTGGGTGGAGTGGACAATAAGCATGGCAGAGACTCGATCGGTGAGCTCGACAAGGTGGAGGACGTAGATGCAAAATGGGGAATTTTTTGTGGGGTGGGAGGCTTCGAGGAGTTTGATGATTGTTGGAACATTTCGAGGGGTGTGGATGCAAACTAGTACTCGAAGTTCGGCTTCAGGTTTAAGTATCTGGATTGATCTTCGTTTGTAGGGGGCAAACCTTTTTGATGGTTTGTAGATTGTGGTTACAATTGGAGTGATGATCGTAGTCATGGCTACAGCTACAATGGTCATGATTGCAAATGCTCTGTCATCTAACACCTGCACAACAAAATGGAAAATGAGACTCTCAATTGTGAATTTTTTGTGTAGTGCCATAAAAACAGGATTTTTTCATAAATTTTCTTTGGGGATAAGATTGTGAGATTGGATTGTCAATTTGAATTTTGTGTTTGGATATAATAGTAGATTAAATTATAATTGTAGTTATTATTACAAAGATTGAATTGTTATCTATAGTCCGGGTTGGGCTCCCTATCCAGCCCGCAACTAATATGCCCAATTCCTCATATATGGATTGAGTTTTATGAACTTTGACCAGTTAACGAGTTAGACCGGGCTGGGCTTGCTTAGCAAATTGAAACCATATTCCACTCATATGCCCTACGTTTATTAGTTAAAATCAAAATGAATCGGGCTTGACCGAGACCATTAGACTTATAGTATTACCATTTGTACTTTTTCCATTTTCAACATTTAATATTTCCATTAGTTTGTTTGTTTGTTTGTTTGTTTTTTTTTTTTTAAACTTGTTTCATGTATTTTCATTTATTTTTTTCTTTTCCTTGTTACATTTCTCATATAATCGAACGATGATCCCGTAACATAATAAATATTACTGTTGGAATGGAATTGAGCCATTTGACTGTGTGGATTAATAAGTTATGGAAATGCGTTCTTGTGAGTTTTAGTGTCATTTGGGATTTCTTTAATTTCATGATAATAGGCCCAATTGAATATGGGTTCAAAATTAGGCAATAAGTAAATCGGTGGACAGTGTTGAGTTTGTGCACGAGAATTATTTTCAGTGGACAATTTGGGTTATGGGCTAATGGGATGGTCGGGTTGAGTTTTCCTGTGCTAGATTTTACGGACTTAACTTATGGGCGGGCTCAGATTACAAATTCTTGATCAAAGTCTTAAATTATCTTTTATGAGTTGGGTTGGAATGGGCTGGGCATTGAAGTGGGTCGAGCCGGGTCAGGCCAGGCCATAGGATAGGTGGGCTAGACTTGGAAATGTTGGGTTTTCTACTTGCGGGCCCACTTGATGACCCTTATGAGAGGCCAACTATAAGGACTATGAGTTTTATTTGTCCCTGTATTTATGCACCTCTTTCTATAGATTTTATCATGGTTATAAAAAAAAAAAAATGAATTTCTAACCTCATTTTCTGGGTCGAGCCGGGTCAGGCCAGGCCATAGGATAGGTGGGCTAGACTTGGAAATGTTGGGTTTTCTACTTGCGGGCCCACTTGATGACCCTTATGAGAGGCCAACTATAAGGAGTACGAGTTTTATTTGTCCCTGTATTTATGCACCTATTTCTATAGATTTTATCATGGTTATAAAAAAAAAATGAATTTCTAACCTCATTTTCTTACTACAAAACAAAAAGAAAAAGAAGAAGAAAGAAGTAGTAGTAGTGAAAATTTATTCATGTAGGATCCATAACTTTGTTGTCTAGTGTTTTAAAGATGGAACTAAAAAATTGGTTTAGGTATGACATTTTTTCTTTCAAAACTGTTAGACATACTAAAAGAACTATCAAAATTTCTACACAATTATTATGTAAAATTTTTAATAATTTTTTTGGGTCTTAGTTTTGTGAATAATTGAAAAGGTTTCAAGAAGCAAGTACTTGTTGTTCCCTACCAACATTAAGCACAATCATTTCAACAAGGCCTTTGGTATTCATCAGTAAACCTAGTGTAAACGCTTCATAAAATGGCATTTGGTAATACATTGCAACAACTAGAGTCCCTGTAATTTTCCCAAGAAAAGCAAGAACAATAACCAGAATCAAGTACCCCCATGTTATAGCCCTTGTGATCGCCAAAAAATTGGTTTTCAACCCACTCATGGAGAAAAACAGAGGAAGCAAAAGCCCCGAAACAAAGTCCTCAAGCTTTTCAACGAGCATGGCACTAAGTTGTCCATTCGGGATAACTAGACCAAACATGAAAGCTCCAAACACAGAATGTGTCCCAATAGCATCAGTTATAAACCCTGCTACCATAACCCCAGTGAGAATCAAACATACATAGAATTCGCTTATCGCTTCCCCTTCTGGGGTTCGCTTCATCATCCATGTGACCAGCGGTCTCACAAGGAATATACAACAAACCACGAAAGCCACGCTTGATACGATCACCCAGAGTGCGGCCATTGAAGTTGTGTCATTTTCGGCTAAGGCAATAGCAATAGCTAATAGAATCCAAGCACACACGTCGTTGATAAGAGTGGATGCCATGGCGATCCTGGCTATATTGGAGCTGAGGAGTTTGAGCTCAGCTAGGATGCAAGCGAAGACAAGGAAGGCGGTGACTGAGAGAGCCACACCAAGGAAGAGGATGACGATGGCTTGGTTTTTTGTGGAGGTGTGTGATTTTTGTTGCAAGATAAAGGAGAAGGAGATGCCGATGATGAAAGGTAGTATCATGCCTCCAATGGCTATGGCTAGGGCTTTTCTTCCAGTGCGGTGAATTACAGCTGGGTCCATTTCTACTTCGATGAGGAAGAGGAAGTAGAGGAGACCAACGTTTGCCATTGTTTCTAGGACCATTACACTTCTTAGAGGGAACATTGCTTTTGCAAATTCTTCACTCTGTCCTAATATTGAAGGACCTAGTACCACTCCACCCTGTGAGCATTGAGCAAGACATAGGTGATTCTAATTAGTCATAAGTTTATCACTGCTGGAAAATAGACTTTTAGTGGCGTTTAAAAAACGCCGCTATAAGTGCCAAAAACGCCTCAAAATCCTTTTGCGATGCTTAGCACCAAACGTCGAGGACGCGGCCGTCGCTATAGCTTTGTGGCGTTTTAAAAACGTCGTGATATTAGTATAGGCGGCATTTTAAAATCGCCACCAAATGTCCTCAATAATAGAACCATGACGTCACTGTGATATTTAGCAACGTTTTTAAAACGCCATCATATCTTTTTAAAAACATATGACCATTAGATTTAGGGTTTAAGTGACGTTTTGAAAAACGCTGTGATATCCTTTTTTAATTTTTTTTTTTTTTTGAAATTGTGCTAATTTTAAACCCATGAAGTAGTATTCAGAGATTTTGAGACAGTTTTCAAACTGCTCTGCAAAAGAAAAACATTATTATAAATGCTTATAGTATGGTAATTTTAAAGAACTCAGTTGAACAGAAGCTAGTGTAAAAAGAAATTGTTGGAGTTCCTAATAATACATCCAAATGCACAATTCATGTAGTCAAGTAGTCTAAGAGAATACAACAATGAAAGCTTTCCATAAAAAGCAATCTGCCTTCTGAAGCGATGCTCATCACGTGCAACCATTCCACGCATGTCAGCCTGAATAGAAATAGCAGAGGAGCACAATTCTTTATATGCTTTCCTAGCAAGATGCATACAAAAATCTCTCTGAATTATCAGACAAGAAGCTTCTCTCCTAATGTTCTCGTAAACTTCCCGAGCAAGTTGTCCTGTAATCAGCACAAGGAAAAAATCATTGAGTTATATACTTTCAAGACCTCAACAATGAGCTAATTAAAGAAGTTCAGCTGAAAAGACACATCTAACACAATTAACTACCTCTACACACATATTGAATCCGACCAATAAAGAATCTTTGCATCTTATAATTTGTAATTTGCAAAGGGTACCAGACCAATAACAAGTGCTGTGATATAATCATTTAACATACACAAAATAGGTTCAGAACAACAGTC